CTTTGCTGAACACACGTGTCACGAGAGTTTCTCTGAGACGAACGGGGTAAACCTTACACTCAGAAGCTGAAGACAGAGAGACAGGAGAGAACACATTCTGCCAGTCAGAACAACAGGCTAACAATCTGAGAGAGAGAATGCCTAGTGGTTTTCAAAAGCAGCCCCATGTAGTAATACAATCAAGAGGTGGTCCAGGGCATGAGTAACTGTCTGAAGACCCTCGAAGTCCATGAACAGGCCCAACTGGCACACAAGGTGAACCTGTGCAAAGGCCTTCTTGGCTACAACTGCCACCTGTTCTTTGAGCAAGAGTATGAGTTCAAAACGATCCCCAGATTATGCACCAGTCTTGCATGGGGAAATGCAACCCCACTGAAGAAGGTCCCTGAAATCAGCAAACAAACAAAGCCACTTGATCTTGCTAGGATTGAGCCTGAGTCTGTTCCTCCCCACCTGGGCCTGTACAATCTCCAGGCACTGGGTCTGGACTTTTGATGTATAATTGGATATTCTCAGCATATTGGTGATACCTGACCCCAAACCAATGGATGACCTCACCCAGCAGTTTCATGCAGATGTTTAACAAAAAGGAAGAGAGAATTGAGCTGTGAGGATCACAGGCATCGTTTTTCACCCCCTATCAACACTGGCCAAAGTAAAAGGAGAACCATGGCAAAGCAGTGCCTCCCAATCCCCAAAGCCAGCCCAATAGGATACCATGTTTGACAGTACTGAAAGCTGCTGAGAGACATCAGGAGGGATGCACCGCCATCATCTGTTAGAGGTAATTGGCAAGTGTGAATAATGCTGTCTCTATACTGAACCTCAGCCTGAAACCCACTAAAATGGGTCTACATAATCTGCTTCCTCCAGAGATCTCTGGAGCTGAAGCCCAACCATGCTCTCCATCACTTTCCACAGAAAGAAGAGGTCGAAGACTGGGTGAAAATTGTCCAGGATGGTTGGATCCAACAATGGCCTCTTAAGGAGGAGGCACACCACAGCTTCCTTCTGTAAGATTTGCCCTGTTCGACAGAGAAACTCCCGTGACACGTGTGGTTCACAAAAGAGGTTTACTCATGCGTAACA